AATGCATATGTCACCTCCCTCTCGAGATCATGAACTGAACATGCTCAACATTCCTCTCACCAAATCTTAGCCACCGAGACGGACAACAAGATGGCAGCTTCAGCAGTGGATCCAAAGCCTATCCACAGGCTTGAGGAGTCACTGATCAACCGCATCGCTGCTGGCGAGGTATGTGTCGCGCAACATCGATTTGTACTAATGTCTAATGTATGCACAGATCATCCACAGACCTGCGAACGCTTTGAAAGAGCTACTCGAGAATGCTCTCGATGCGGGAGCAACGCAGATCAAGATCACGGCGAAGGATGGTGGGTTGAAGCTTCTGCAGATAGTAGATAACGGGTCGGGCATACGCGTGCGTCCCTTTTCCGACTTGCACATCACTGGTTAACGTTCATGCTAGAGGGCCGATCTTCCTCTGCTTGCAGCGCGATTCTGCACTTCGAAGCTCTCCACGTTCTCAGATCTATCGAAATTGCAAACGTACGGCTTCAGAGGGGAGGCACTCGCCAGCATCTCCCATGTTGCGCATCTCAACGTGGTCACGAAGACCAGGGACGACTCTTGCGCTTGGAGGTGCGACCTAAATACTGTTTTACTTTTGAATACAATTTATATGCGTCCCTAGAGCAAGTTATTCAGATGGTTTACTCGCACCTGCCAAAGCGGGCACGTCCGCTGACCCTAAACCCTGTGCTGGTAATGATGGAACGACAATTACCGTTCGTTTCTCCCGTATCCAGATCGACAAAGCTGACTCTGACTCAGGTCGAAGATCTCTTCTACAACACACCCCTTCGACTAAGAGCACTCAAATCTCCTTCCGATGAATATGCGCGTATCCTAGACGTCGTCCAAAGATATGCTATTCACAACCCAAGCGTCTCCTTCCTGTGCAAGAAGGTAAGAGTTCTTACCGTCTTCCTCTATTGGTATTGAACTCGACTTATCAGACTGGATCAAACACTGCCGATGTCTCGACTCCCTCCTCGGGGACGGTCAAGTCCGCCATCCAGACCATCTATGGCCCAAGCGTTGCGAAAGAGCTGCTAGAGGCGCAGGCGGAAGCTGGGACCAAGGACGAATTCGAGTGGCAAGCCGAAGCATGGTTCACAAGCGCCAACTATCATGCCAAGAAACCCACGTTCTTGTTGTTTATCAACCGTGCGTAATTGGCGGCCTTCAGAGTGGATGTATACTTACTTTCGGCTAGATAGAAGTGTTGAGAGCGCGAGAGTGAAGAGAGCAGTTGAGGCCGTGTACAGCGGCATCCTGCCAAAAGGCGCATGTGGATTCATCTATCTGAGGTGTGTTGGCACGCATACATTCGTTCGAGCAGCTCGGTCTGACGTTCCGGGCCAGTCTGGACATCGATCCAAGCAAAGTCGACGTGAACGTCCATCCCACGAAACGAGAAGTCCATTTCCTGGAGGAAGAAGCTATCACTGAGAAGGTAGCGGATTCTATGCAGGCAGTGTTAGCGGCGAATGACCAATCAAGAACATTTCAATACCAGGTGAGGACTATTATTCACAATACAATGATGGTTCTCATCGTCTCGATAGACTGTTCTCACCGGTCACAGTCCTTTCAAGTCACAGGGCAAGATGAAGCGCAGTGACCTGCAAAAAGAGCGGACCCCCGCTGGGTCTGACGAGGAAATACAGAGTGAAGACGAAGTCGAAGATGAGGAGAATGAGCAAGACCTGGACCTGGAACGGCCCAGGGCTGGGCCGTCTTCCTCTCTGAAGCCGTCCCGAAAACCCTCTCAACCGTCGTACAAGAAAATCCGGAATGACCTTAAGACGAGAACCTTGGACTCGATGTTCCCCGTTCTCCAAAGCAGCTCGGAATCTCAGTCGTCACAGCCAAATATGGAAATTGAGAAGAAAGAAAAAGCACCTGCTATCTCCGAGAGTCGATGTTTCTTGACTAGCGTGCAGGAGCTGAGGGCAGCAGTGAAGAAGGCGAAGCATTCGCGTACGGATTTCTTTTTTTTCCCTGCGATCCAACTAATTGGAATAGATCTGGCAGAGATCATCGTCGAGCACACCTACGTGGGCATCGCATCGATGAATCTGTGCCTCTCGCTGGTTCAATCATCCACCAAACTATTCCTGATCAATCACGCGGCTCTCTCGTACGTGTCACTCCAGTTTCAAACTCCGTTGGCTTATTTGGTCACAGCGAGGAGCTTTTCTATCAGCTCGGGCTGATGCAATTCGGAAACATTGGGAAGCTGACTCTTGAGCCTGCGCCGAGTTTGGAGGAGCTCGTTAGACTCGCTGTGGATGCAGAGGCGGCTATCAAAGAGCAGGGGCTGATCCCCGAAAAGATTATTAAAGTGCGTCTCGCAGTGTGTCAACCGCCGCTCAATCTAACTGGCGCTGCTGCAGTCCATTCTCAAGACCATCATGGCCCAAAGAGCGATGCTGGCAGAATATTTCTCGCTCGAAATCACCTCCTCTGGTGAGGTGTCTACACTCCCACTCCTCCTGCCCGGATACACGCCAAACCTCGACCGTCTCCCACTCTTCCTCATGCGTCTCGCGCCGCAAGTGAACTGGACGTCGGAATCCGAATGCTTCTCCACCTTCCTACGGGAGTTAGCTTATTTCTACGTCCCTGGTCGTGTTGTACAAGAGAAGGAAGACCCTGCGCCGGAAGAGCAAGAGGAAGGGAAGAGGAAAAGCGAGGAGTGGCAGATCGAGCATGTGCTATTTCCCGCGTTCAGGAAGTATCTTGTACCTCCTCGAGGGCTGCTCGAGAGGGACGTGGTGCAGGTTGCAGAGTTGAGGGACTTGTACAGGGTGTTTGAGCGATGTTAGATTTCTCTTTGCGTTTTCATTAGGTCTCCTAATTCCTGTGTCGAATCCTCATTGTATTCTATCGCAATATTGTTCATTTGCTGACCAGTCTACATTAAACGTGCGCACGAGGACCCTCACCCCGTAGTGCCGTAACCTCCGACCAACTCCCCCCCCCCCCCCCCCCCC